AGGGTTTTTTAGGAAATCCGTGGCAAAAATCCGTGGCAAATTTGCGACGGATTTTAGCCACGGATTTTGTTTAAAAAAAATTCTATTGTATTCTTTTTTAGGAAATCCGTGGCAAAAATCCGTGGCAAATTTGCCACGGATTTTAGCCACGGATTGTTTTTTAAAACAAAAATCGTGTGTAGGGTTTTTTAGGAAATTCATGGCTAAAATCCGTCGCAAATTTGCCACGGATTGTTTTTAAAAAAAAAATTCTATTGTATTCTTTTTTAGGAAATCCGTGGCAAAAATCCGTGGCAAATTTGCCACGGATTTTAGCCACGGATTTTTTTTAAAACAAAAATCGTGTGTAGGGTTTTTTAGGAAATCCGTGGCTAAAATCCGTCGCAAATTTGCCACAGATTTTAGCCACGGATTGTTTTTAAAAAAAAATTCTATTGTATTCTTTTTCAGGAAATTCGTGGCAAAAATCCGTGGCAAATTTGCCACGGATTGTTTTATTAAACAAAAAATCTATTGTATTCTTTTTTTAGGAAATCCATGGCAAATTTGCCACGGATTTTTTTTTTAAAAACAAAAATCGTGTGTAGGGTTTTTTAGGAAATTCGTCGCAAAAATGGGTGGCAAATTTGCGACGGATTTTAGCCACGGATTGTTTTTAAAAAAAAATTCTATTGAATTTTTTTTTAGGAAATTCGTGGCAAAAATCCGTGGCAAATTTGCGACGGATTTTAGCCACGGATTGTTTTTTAAAAATTTTTTTTATTGTATTCTTTTTTAGGAAATTCATGGCAAAAATCCGTGGCAAATTTGCGACGGATTTTAGCAACGGATTTTTTTTAAAAAAATTCTATTGTATCTTTCTTAGAAAATCCGTGGCTAAAATCCATGGCAAATTTGCCACGGATTTTAGCCACGGATTTTTTTTAAAACAAAAATCATGTGTAGGGCTTTTTAGGAAATTCGTGGCAAAAATCTGTGGCAAATTTGCGACGGATTTTGGCCACGGATTGTTTTCAAAAAAAAATTCTATTGTATTCTTTTTTACGAAATTCGTGGCAAATTTGCCACGGATTTTAGCCACAGATTTTTTTATTAAACAAAAAATCTATTGTATTCTTTGTTTAGGAAATTCGTGGCAAAAATCCGTGGCAAATTTGCCACGGATTTTAGCCACGGATATTTTTATTAAAAAAAATTCTATTGTATCTTTCTTAGAAAATCCGTGGCTAAAATCCGTGGCAAATTTGCCACGGATTTTAGCCACGGATTGTTTTATTAAACAAAAAATCTATTGTATTCTTTTTTTAGGAAATCCGTGGCAAATTTGCCACGTATTTTAGCCACGGATTGTTTTATTAAACAAAAAATCTATTGTATTCTTTTTTTAGGAAATCCGTGGCTAAAATCCGTGGCAAATTTGCCACAGATTTTTGCCACGGATTTTTTTTTAAAACAAAAATCGTGTGTAGGGTTTTTTAGGAAATTCGTGGCAAAAATCTGTGGCAAATTTGCCACGGATTTTTGCCACGGATTTTTTTTTAAAACAAAAATCGTGTGTAGGGTTTTTTAGGAAATTCGTGGCAAAAATCCGTGGCAAATTTGCCACGGATTTTAGTCACGGATTTTTTTTTAAAAAAATTCTATTGTATTCTTTTTAAAAAAATCCGTGGCAAATTTGCCATGGATTTTAGCCACGGATTGTTTTATTAAACAAAAAATCTATTGTATTCTTTTTTTAGGAAATCCGTGGCTAAAATCCGTGGCAAATTTGCCACAGATTTTTGCCACGGATTTTTTTTAAAAACAAAAATCATGTGTAGGGTTTTTTAGGAAATTCGTGGCAAAAATCTGTGGCAAATTTGCCACGGATTTTTGCCACGGATTTTTTTTTAAAACAAAAATCGTGTGTAGGGTTTTTTAGGAAATTCGTGGCAAAAATCCGTGGCAAATTTGCCACGGATTTTAGTCACGGATTTTTTTTAAAAAAAATTCTATTGTATTCTTTTTAAAAAAATCCGTGGCAAATTTGCCATGGATTTTAGCCACGGATTGTTTTATTAAACAAAAAATCTATTGTATTCTTTTTTTAGGAAATCCGTGGCTAAAATCCATGGCAAATTTGCCACGGAATTTTGCCACGGATTTTTTTTTAAAACAAAAATCGTGTGTAGGGTTTCTTAGGAAATTCGTGGCAAATTTGCCACGGATTTTTTTAGTAAACAAAAAATCTATTGTATTCTTTTTTTAGGAAATTCGTGGCTAAAATACGTGGCAAATTTGCCACGGATTTTTTTATTAAACAAAAAATCTATTGTATTCTTTTTTACGAAATTCGTGGCTAAAATCCGTGGCAAATTTGCCACGTATTTTAGCCACGAATTTCCTAAAAAACCCTACACACGATTTTTGTTTTTAAAAAAAATCCGTGGCAAAAATCCATGGCAAATTTGCCCCGGATTTTAGCCACGAATTTGAAAAAGACCACAAAATTACCGCGACAATTTTATATTTCGATTCGAATTTGCCGCGAGAAAATAATAATTCGTGGCTAAAATCGTGGCAAATTAGCCACGAATTGGAAATCGTGGCTAAATCCGTGGCAAATTAGCCACGAAATAAGATTCGTGGCTAATTTGCCACGATTTTTGCCATGAATCCTAGAACCGTGGCAAATTTGCCACGATTTTAGCCACGATTTTAAATCCGTGGTTAATTTCAGCGAAAATTCAACAAACGGCGTCGTCTTCATGAGCGGGTACAAATTAGGGTTCTTCTTTTCTGTTCTCACGATCGAACCAATCTTCTCACCTTACCTCTGTCTCTTGTCTGTCTCTGTCTTCTACCTCTTTCTCTGTCTCTGTTGCAGTTCTTCGGCGTTCTTCGGCATTCTTCGGCGCGATTCTTGGCGTTCTTCGGTGGCGGACGCTGGGAAGCGAGGACACCCAGCGCGCGGTCTGCTTCTGTTGGGTTCTTCGGCGGCGTCCGAGAGTGTTCGGTATGCTTCTGTTGGGTCTGCTTTTCGCCGTTTTTTCTAGGCGTTTGCCTCTGCTTATGCTTCTGTTCAATGTATGTGTTGGGTCTACGTTTGGGTCCGCTCGCTTTGTGCTTCGCTTCTATGCTTCGCGCTTCGTGCTTCGCTTCGTGCTTCGCTTCGCGCTTCGCTCGCGCTTTGCTTCGCTAAGCTTCGTGCTTCGCTTCGCTAAGCTTCGTGCTTCGCGCTTCGCTAAACTTCGTGCTTCGCTTCGTGTCGGCCGGGCTTCGTGCTGGGTCCGCGTCCGCCCGTGTTGGCCGGCTTCGTGTTGGGTCCGCGTCCGCTTCTCGCTTCGCGCTTCGCTTCGCTTCGTGTTGGGTCCGCTCTGCTCGCTCGTGGACGAAAGACAGGTCTGCTTTCGCCCACGAATTTGGTTCTATTCGTGTGCGAAACAAACCAGTTTCGTGGGCGCTTCTGTGCTTCGGCTTCTGCTTCTATGTTGGCTTCTGTGTTGGCTTTCGTGGGCGCTTCTGTGTTGGGTGTTGGCTTCTGTGCGAAACAGATTGGGTCTGTTTCGCCCACGAACAGAATCAAATTCGTGGGCGAAACAGAAACAGAACCATTCTATTTCGCCCACGAATTTGATTCTGTTCGTGGGCGAAACAGAAACAGAACCATTCTGTTTCGCCCACAAATTTGATTCTGTTCGTGGGCGAAACAGAATGGTTCGTGTCTGCTTTCGCCCACGAATTTGATTACTGTCGTGGCGAAACAGACTAATGTTCGTTCGCCCACGAAACAGTAACGAAACATAATCAATTTCTCATATTTAGGTTGAAATTTGGTCGGATTTAGGTTGAAATTGAGTTGAAATTCGTTTGAAATTTGGTCGAAATAAGGTGAAATGTGGTCGGAATGAGTTGAAATTTGGTCGGTCAAGTGGAAACGGCCCGCTGATCGAAATACACGGCCTATGGCCGTGACGCAAGCCATTTTTTGGCTTTTGGAGTCGTTTAGATGGGTTTTTTGGCAAAAAAATGATTCTGGTGAATAGTGTTTTCCGTGACATTTCCGCTTTTTTTTTTTCGTTTCGGAGTCATTTTATCATTATCTAGGTTTGAAAACTATTTCCAAACCTTTTTTGGCCTAGGTTGAAGCTTTGGCCATCGGGGTAAAACTATTTCCGTGACATTTGGGTTTTCTGGAGTGGCTCCCTTCGAGGTAAAAACTTATTGATTTTCTTGTTGAAGTTGATATATTCATTTTGAACAGAACTTAGTGATTTGCTTGCATCATAAAATTTGTTGTGAAAGTGTAACTTATTAAGTTCTAAGGCTTTCAAAACATGCAATTAAATTTTAAAACAAGTCGAATTACAGAAATTAACTGAAAATTTGATGACTCTGACCAGCTAGATGAGTTCTTCCTTTTTTACCGTTGTAGGACCAGAAATTTAGCTCGTACACATTTCCGGACAGCTTCCTTTTTTTCCGGGGCCATCTCTCTTGCTCTCAATAACAAAATGGTAAGCTTCACGACGTACGTCATTATGTGTCCTTAATATATGTTCATAATTTTCTTTATTTTTGTCTAACCTTGCACCTTTTAGTGTAAACGTGGAGGTCACATGCGTCGTGATGATGCTTCACAAAGAAGACCAGGCCTTTCCTCTTCCTCGTCCTCATCCCCATCCCTTTCCGCTTCCCCTGCCCCTGCCCTTTTATCTAACCCTCAACTAGTACATGGATACATTGGCCCTTCCTCCGACTCTCAAATGCGAACTGAATTTACTTCAATTCCATCGCCTTCGGTTCCACCTTCTTCTTCAACGCAACACTCGAATTATGAAGAAGATACCCGATTCATGATAGCCCCATTTGGAGATTCGTAAGTATTTCATTTTTTTAAATATATGTGAATTATTATGGATGTCAACTGAATTGTCTGTATGCTTTACGGATGCTACGTATGTTGAAATAAGTTATAACCCGTTTGCAGATTCACGGATTCTACGCATGTTGTGAGGAGATTTAATAAAATAATCGATAACTATTGGATGGGGCAGTTTAGTAGTTGGACCACTGCTCCAAAAGAAGTAAAGGAATTGTGGTGGAATGAGTTCAAGGTAAGTTTTGTCATTTTATTTCCTCACAAACTAAGTTCGATTTAGCATACTGAGCGTACAATTATTTTTCTATTGATTGCTTGCAGCGGAAGTTCAGGTGGGATGAAGCGGAAGAGAAAGAAGTTAAAAGAATTTTTAAGAAGTAAGCCGGTGATCACATGCGAAATGTGATGAATAGAGCAAAGAGAAGACAAGAAAAGCCGGATTTTATTACAGCCGACAATTGGGCGGAAATCAAAAGAACTTGGGACACCGAAAAGCATAAGCAAATAAGTGAAATTAATAAGAAGAATCGAGCTTCTAGTTCTAGTGAAGGGTCTGCCACATATGCTGGGGGTTCTATTAATATCGGGGAGCATAGAAAAAGAATGGTAAGTCTTTTAAACATGTTGTAAAGTTAAATCAATAATTACTCATTTCATTTATGTTTATATTTTGTAGGCCGATGAATTGGGGACGGAACCAACATTTATGGCTACATTTGAACGCACCTTTCAGAAAAAAAGATAAGACATGGATCGGCAATCGAGCAAAAGTTATTAAGGTATGTAAGGTTATATTTTGTATTTATATATATGAATTTTTTTGTTATTAATATTGTTAATGTAGGACAAATATGATGAACTTGTAATGAGCACGGCTGCTGCTAGTGGTGATGGTGATGGTGATAGTGATAGTGATGGTGATGGTGCTGCTGCTCCGAGCCATCGGTTGACAGTATGGCATTATGGATGGAGGCATCGGGTGGAATGAGAAGAGGTCAAATATTTGGGATGGGATCCTTGTCAAGGATGTACAGAACGCCGGCTGCTGCAACTTCATCCTCCAGTGCGGCTTTTTTAAGGGCACAACACGAGGAGCGAACGGACCAAGAATTGAACCGCTTGAAACAATTACTGGTACAGAAGGATGAAGAAATGAAACAGTTACTTGTACAGAAAGACGAAGAAATGAAACAATTACTTGTACAGTAGGACGAAGAAATGAAAGGAGTGAACCAACGTTTGCAATTGATCATGCAACACCTCAACCTCGAAGCTGATGACGGTCCTCCTGTACCTCCTACTAATCCAGTAGGTGATGGCCACAATGATGATGATAATGAGATTCCTGATGATGATGATGATGATGATGATGATGATGATGCTGATGCTGATGCTGCTGATGATGATGATGATCCTTGCTAGTTTAAATTTCCAAGAGGTACTTATATCTTTGTGCTTCTGCTGTTGAATAGATGTGAAAAAATTAACAGGGGTTAGGAGTTTGATATTGTGATGTTTGCGCTGCAGATGGATAGGACTTCGATTCTTGGAAATCAATAGTTTGCCGCAACAGTTTGCCACAACGTGAAAGAACTTCTTGGCAAGATCAATAGTTTGCCACAACAGTTTGCGAACTTGCTAATTTAGAACATTGTTTCATTTCTTTCTTTTTGGGGTTTGTTCTTGTCTTGACTGTGATTTTCTATCAATGTTAATTAGATTTCAAATCGAAATCGTTCCTAAACAACATTCGTCGCTAAAGTATTCATTAAAATTCGTCGCCAAATTTGTTTTCGAATAATGTCGGCCGCAATAGTCAAAATTTTTCGTGGCAAAATACTGATAAAAAAAAAAATTCGGGCAAATTAGCCACGAATTTTGCCACGAATAATTCCAGTGGCAAATTAGCCACGAATTTTGCCACGAATAAACTCGTCACAAAAAAAAAAAAAATTTTGGCAAATTAGCCACGTGATAATTAGCAACGACTTTTTGCCATGAAAATATTTCGTCGCAATTTCGCGACCAAAAAATAAATCAAAATAATAGCGACGACTTTTGCCACGAATAGATCTCGTGACAAATTACCGACGGATTCTTGTCACGAATAATATTCGTGGCAAATTAGCCACGGATATTTGCCACGAAAAATATTCGTGGCAAATTACCGACGGATTCTTGTCACGAATAATATTCGTGGCAAATTAGCCACGGATATTTGCCACGAACAATATTCGTGGCAAATTACCGACGGATTCTTGTCACGAATAATATTCGTGGCAAATTAGCCACGGCTATTTGCCACGAAAAATATTCGTGGCAAATTAGCGACGGATAGGCCACGAATAATATTCGTGACAAATTAGCGACGGATATTTGCCACGAATACTATTCGTGGCAAATTAGCCACGAATTTTGCCACGAATAATTAGCGACGAATTTTGCGACGAATTATTTTTCGTTGCAAAATTAGCCACGAATAATTAGCGACGAAAAAAATTCGTCGGAAATTAGCCACGAAAATTGGAATTTTCCGTGGCAAAATTTTGCGACGGCCTATTAGCGACGATTTTTTTTCCGTTGCTAATTTCGTCGCAAATTCATTTTGCCACGAATTTTGTCGAAATTTTTCGTGGCAAAATTCGTGGCAAAACCCGGCTTTTTTTGTAGTGTGTATTTGGTGCTTAGTCTGAATGGTATTTTTTAACTGATGAAGGAAAGCCCCGGGTAACTTCCAAACAAGTGGAACATGATAACAAAATAATGGTAATTGGAGAATATATTAAGTTGTATAATACGCCCAACATCCAACTAACATGCAATAATATAATATATTTTCGAGACGACCTCCTCCTCTTCTCTTCTTTTTTCCTTTTTCCCTCTCCTAGCCATCGCCAGGTCTCGTTGATGGCCAACGGATTAAATGCTCATAAACAAAGTCGATCTATGACTTTCTTTTCATTAGGATGCAGAGAAGTGGCAGCTTGGGACAAGAACAGTCTCTTATTACCTACAATCCACGAACCATGCACGGGAAAACAGAAAAAAAAAAAAAAAAAAAGGTGCCAATGACATTAAATGGTCAAACCGCGGTAATGAGCTTATCGTTTGTGCAAGAATGCTTATTTTATCCATTTTGGTGCAACAAAAGAGTGCAATGCAACCAAGTAAATGTTAAGAACTTTGGTATTGGGTAACAAAGATGGGGGACATCGATGGCAAAAGTATTTTCGGGATAAAGATGGATATGGATATTGTTTTGCTTTTGCAATCTAGATAACCAATTCGTTCTTTTCGAGATATCTCATTGTCGCAGAACAAATGGTCTTTACTTGATCAGGCTGTATTGATTATGCTAGAGAGTTTACCATTTTTCACAAGAAAAGTGAAGAAAAAACGGCACAAGGATGTAAAAGTTATCGAAGACCACTTCCGTATCAGACGACGTGCCTTCTTCAAGCTGGAGGGAGAGGAAATCAAACGAATCACCAAGTCGTCGCAGTTGTTGTCGAACGGTTCATCCATGGACTTGAGAAGCGGGAAATAGATTCTACTTTGAAGACTTGGTAATATGCAGGGTAGCTTCCCCAATAAACTATATCTACATATAATCGCACCTTGAATCATTAAGTAAGTCATGTCTTATAAAGAAAGTGGAGCTAAAACCTTCTTTTCATTCGGCAGCTGACAAGTGGCAGTTTGGGAGAAGAACAGGATTTTATTAATTTCCTACCACCCACGAACCTAGCTCGGGAAAAAGAAAATCTACCAAAAGTATTTTATGAAAAGTAAGAAAAATTGTATTAAATGATCAAATCATCATCGATGAGCTTATCATATCTGAAATACGAAGCTCATCAACTTTTGTGCGACAAGAGAGCGCATTTCTAGATATTTTCGGTCTTCTTTGAGTGGTAAAAGAGTTGTAAAAGAAACAAAGAAGAAACGGTACGAGGATTCAAAAATTCATCAAAGACCATTTCAAAATCAGGTGATAATTTACCTTACCAAAAAAAAAATCAGGTGATAAGAAACAAATGGCCAAGTCGTCGTAGTTGTTATAGGGTGAGAAGGGGAAAATAGATAAAACCTCTGAAGATTTGGTAGGAATCTGCATGAAAACCTTCTGATGAACCAAATACTGGGTCAAACATTTTCATCTATAAAGAGAGAGCATGTTGCCATGCAAGTCCTCACTCCTCCCTCAAGCAATACTAGTCTGTGCAAGGATTAGAACTCGCGATCAAGGCCCCAACTCCTGTTCACAACCACAATGAAGTTTCTTCCCATTAGCTTTCTCATCTTGGCTTTAGCAACTGTCGCTGCTTTAGCTTACGACCCGAGTCCTCTTCAGGACATATGCGTGGGAACCAATGATATGGAATCTGGAGGTTGGTTCCTCAATTCTTGCATTAGTCATGTATTTCATTTCTGGCTTATGATGTCGAAACTGAAACACCAATTTTTTTTCTTATGCAGTATTTGTGAATGGAAAGTTCTGCAAGGACCCAAAAGAAACCACGGCTGATGATTTCCTCTTTATGGGGTTCAGAACGCCTGGAAACACATCGAATCCGCTCGGATCAAAAGTCACACAGGCTTTTGTCGACCAATTTCCAGGACTCAACACTCTTGGAATATCCATGGCTCGCATTGACTTCGCTCCTGGCGGCCTAAATCCTCCCCACATTCACCCTCGTGGCACCGAGGTTCTGGTCGTAGTGGAGGGTACGCTACTTGTTGGCTTTGTCACGTCCAACCAATTAAACAACAAACTCTTCACCAAAGTACTGTACAAGGGGGACGTGTTTGTGTTCCCTATTGGTCTCATTCACTTCCAGTTGAATATCGGAAACACGTATGCACTGGCCTTTTCCGGTCTTAGCAGCCAGAACCCAGGACTCATTGTCATTGCTAATAATGTTTTTGGAGCGAAGCCACCCATTTCTGTTGAAGTTCTCACCAAGGCCTTCCAAGTGGACAAGAAGGTTGTTGACTACCTCCAGGCGCAGTTTTGGTACGACAACAACTAAATGAATCTATCATAAGTTACACAAAATAATTGAATTATGAGACTTGTAAAATTAATCTTATTTCCATAAGTGGTTGCTCTAGACACACATAACTAGACTACATACCACATGTATGCCTTATTTCGAATAAAAGATTGTTACCTCTCTCGACTGATTTCAAATAAAATATTATTACCTCTCTCTCTCTCTCTCTCTCTCTCTCTCTCTCTCTCTCTCTCTCTCTCTCTCTCTCTCTCTCTCTCTCTCTCTCTCTCTCCCGAGGCGTGTACTTCAACGCGGGTTGTGCCGTAGGTGGTAGATGTTGAGCCTGAGGCGTGTACTGTAACGCGGGCGAGAGACATGGCCTGAGGCGTGTACTGTAACGTGGGCCGAGGAGTGCTGGGAATGTAACAGCCCGAATTTCGATGTAATTTCCGGGATCAATGAAACTGATATTATTTCGCATTTCATTTTAGTAAGTCTCACCCAGAGCTGATCACTCTCGGGATACTAACCAATAGGGTATGGCTAGCTAGAAGATGGTACGTGGACCGGGGACCCTGTCGCGAAAGGGATACCGATCACGAGAGACGTTGAGGAAATATTTTGAGCCAATGTGGGCTGATCTTAGGAAAGAGTAATGGATTGGGTTTGGCCAAGGCCAACGATGTACGATTGGGACGCAGGTGATTCTGCAAGACCAAAAGTGCACGTGGTCAACCAGTCCGGAACTTGAACCTAATGATTGTGACCTCGGGAACTAATGATAATTTCTCATTCTCTCAATGATCGAGACCATCACGATACGAATAGCCCTAGGTCGATACGCGTAACCTCTAAACAGCCGCCCGTTAGTGAGAGACTCTGAAATTGAAAGTTTAGCGAGTTTTGTTCAC